CCTCTCCCCCCCCCCCACGCCATACATACAGCGCCCCCCCCCCCTCTCCTCCTAAAGAGGACTCCCTGTAGGCCTCGTCTTTCACAGTGCCTGCAAAGGAAATACATTATGTGTAAAAAGAATTCCATATGGTGTCATACGATCTGTGTAATTCTCTCTCAATTGATAAAAAAGTCACCTTGTATGCACAATTCTCTCCTTTGTTAAAGGTACTGTAACGCATGTACTGTATGAACTCTCTAATGCGCTTCCCTTCCTCCCTCACAGAAAGAAAAGATTCTAGGATAATAATCCAAAACAGTATTAGAATGTTTCGCCCAACTGCTAAAATTGGACACTAATCTGTTATTCCATTATAACAGTTAAAAAGAAGCTCAACCAGCTCAACAAGAAAACACTGACAAGAAAGCACTTACCACCTCCTTCTTCCTGTGGCTGACTTCAGCTGCCGTAGTTTACATTGAGGCCTCCTGTCTTGGCTGAGATGGAGAGCGTGTGCAGGCGTACGGGTAGGCTCTTCCAGGTAAACCCTGCCAAGTTCAAGTGGCTTGGAAGGAGCCCCACGGCACCAATTGGGAAGAGATTCCTGCAGGGCTGCCAACCCGTGAGTGTCAGTAGACTTTTGTGTCGGCATTGTCTGCAGAGAGACATGCACATTCAAGCATGTACTTAGGAAAAAGGAAATAAAAAAAAAAAAAAACAAACAGCAGTGATGTGTTTGTCAGTAGGTTAGATCTAGCAAAACAGCTGCAGAGATGGACCTTTGAATTTTTTAGTTCTCATGATGCAACAGCACATTTAATGTCAGAATGTTTTACGGCCCTTGAACAGATTCTACTCACACAACAGTAACTTGTCCTAGGATTTTTGGCTAAACAGTTTCTGTACCATAAATCGTATCATTTTATCCAAACACACTGAACCAAGCAGACCAGGGAGACAAACTCCTCATAACACCTCCAGCATCTGTGATCCACCTCTGATCTTGGTGAACATATTTTGGCATCTCTGATAGAGTGAAAACAATATGCTTGAATGAGTGGAAAGCATAGACTGCAGGAGCTAGCTGTGAAGCGGGTTGTAAAGGCCCCCACCGTGTTGCCCTGATTGGACAAATCCTAGCAGGCTGAGGAAGTGGAGGAAGGACTGCTGGGAGGGTTATACGCTGGGCTGGTTAGAGATGTGTGAGTAGCTTGTGGGGAAAAGCGGGAAGAGGGGGAATTCCTGTTCCTGAACAGAAAAGTGATGGAAAAAGTGAGTGCAAGATCTTGCTTATGCTGCTCCATGTCAAAACAGCCAAGTGCTGCCGTCATCTGTACAAATATTTCAAGAGATTATGGTTCGGGAGCCTCGTGAGAAAGGCCGAATCAGACCTCTGAGGACAGCCCTACTTAAACTGACATTAATAAAAAAAAGCCTTCCCTTTTTAACATGCTCAGGCCAAGAATTTACTCATTAAACCAAAGTTTTCTCTCTAGCTGAAAACAAACAGCAATCTGTCATGTCGGTTTTAATCTATTAAGATCAGGACCAAAATAAATTTGGTGAGAAAAAACTATTATTCTCGTATTCTCCTCCAAAATAACTGCGATAGACTGTGATTCTCCTTTCAAAATACATGCCATGCCTGCTACCAGAACAATGCAAATTATGTTTGTATTATTTCTAATAATAATTTTCCAAAAACTCTCAGGAGATGCTGATAAAGTGTTTTCTAAAATTGTGACCAAACACTGCAGCTCCCTCTCTGGATGTCGTGCTTTGTTTATGACTCTCCCACAGAATCTGAAATTAATTTAGCGCCCCTTCTCTTCCCACTGTAAACTGGTGCTGTGCAGCCAAACCACATGTTGTTATTGCTGCAGTGGCAGAGGGGGCTGCCTCAGCAGGCCTTAGTAGCACAGAACAGATTTGCTCTGTTTTTTTCTGTCAGAATATCAAATAGTTTCTCTCTGTGTCTTTCTCGTTTTGGTGGTGAATATCACCCTTAGTCTGCACTTTATTATGATTAATAAATCAGACACTTGTGGCAGGGCAAAGGGAATACTCTGCTAACCCTGAGAGATCAGATTTGCATTTTGATCTCTTGTAAGCCCAAGATCTTTTGTCATGATTATCTGGTGCTTTATTGTGGTTAGTGAGGAGCTGTTGACTGAATTGAGTCTCTTGATGCGTGTGCCCAAATTGTGCTTTTGGGACCTACAACAACCAGGACCATAGATGTCTTCTCTGCTCTATTCTGGATATCTCCAGACAATGGAAGGGTCCACAAGGAGCAGAGGAGCTCCACTGTCTCTGGATGTCTGCCAAGCCAACGTTCTGACCTTGCAGCAGTCACTTTCCCTTGAGTTATGTGAGAAACCTGTTTCATGATGCGGTGTCTGGAAAACTCTGCTGCTCCTGACTGTGGCTCACCAAAATGGCACTTACCTGGAATAGAACCACGAGAACCACAATAATTATAAAACAGAATTGTGGTTCTAGTCAAATTACTCCAATAATTTCCCTATTGTTGCTCTAAAAGCTTCTCTCCTTGGTCTTGTGCCAGTGAAGCGACCAAACTCCTTTCCCTCAAGTAAACCTTTTGGCTCGGAGCCTCAATCCCTGTGGATGCTTTGATTTGGTCCAGCTCCGGCTGGGGGCCTCTGAAAGCCATGTCTCCGGGCTCATTAACAGAAAAGGAGGGGTTTTACTGGCCATGCGGCTGACTGTAAACTGTAAACCCACCAACAAGCATCTCTTTCCCATTTGAACCTCTTATATCCTAAATGGTTAAAACACGTTTTTATTGTCATGGCCCTAATATGACTTTACATTACTTCATCAATGTAACCCAATGCATTTTTTAAAATGTATTATTGTGGTCAGTCTTATTTCATTATGGTGCAAATGGACAGACAGACAGACATTTGAGCCTCAAAGAGCCTCAAATCCGCCTCCTTGATGTTGGTAATTACCAGAGCAAACAAACTAGATGTCTAACTAAACTAGATTAAACTAAACTAGAAATTAAATGTCAGGCTCTCTATTTGACAGTTACAGATGAGGTACTCAAAAGGATTAAGGTTTGACACCCAGCCTTATTCCCATGATGTATTTGAAAAGAACATAGCATGGCAATTGATGATTCAGCAGCACAGATCGTCTGGATGCTAAAGAAGAAAAACTACAGGACTGCGTCTTTTCCACCTGCTGCTTCATTCCCTACTGGAGTTGTAATGGCAAAAAATAAACTGGCTCGACATCTGTTGGCAATGTCAGTAGTCTGTTTTTATGCTTGTAATGACACATCTTCTCCCCCTTCCCCACCCTATGTCCCGTTCCAGGGGAGCAGTGCCAGCAAAATCGTCTGAATGAGTGCACACGTTGTTTTCTTTGTCTGTTTTGGGCCAAGATCTGGTCTTAGATGTGGTGGCATTCTATGATCGGATAATTCCTTCCACGTCCCAAGTTTAAGGTGTGTGTGGGCGTGTGTGTGTGTGTGTTTTTTTTTTTTTGCTCTCTTGGCAGAGCTCAGAGTGCAAACAGTGGCAATGGGTGGCAGGGTTCTTCTGTAGCCTCACTCCCAGCTGGAGGAGAGCCATTTTGCCCTCTGAGGGAGCACCCAGTCTCCCTGGCTTGGCCTGCTGCTCAGCCAGTGGGAACTCCTCTTGGCTGAGGCTAGACGCCCTTGTAAGCGCTGACAGTCACTGACACATCACTGGCAGAGAACTCAAAGACGCAACATTACGCAGGCCTCTGTTAATGTTTAATTGCGTGCTTCTGTAACTGAAATTAGAAAAAAAGAAAGAAAAACATGTTTAATGTTCCATATGCAGTAAAGTTGTGGGATTACAACTCAAATCGTTCTTTTGGACAGGCAATTGAACCTGTCATAGACAGGACAAGACTTTCAAGTGTTTGTCAAGCACTACTTAATTAAGAGATTACTGCAACAAACTTAAGGAGTTTCACATTAAATGTTTTCTTCTTAACGTATGACTCCTTCTAACATTATTTAACCGTTAGTTGCAATGCGTCTAAATTCTTTGTGATCCTGCATCCAGATACACTAAGTAGTGAAACCACATACTTTTCCCCAGTCCACAGTGTCTTGTCATGTAGGCGTCCATTTCATTGAAAAACTTTTTAAGAAATTCCTATTCTCATTCTCATGATTTTTATTTCTTGATGTTTTTGTTTTCTATTTTAACCAGTTGACATAAGTTTCTTAAATTCAAAGTGCTTTACTCTGATCAATTGCAGTTGGCTGCAGGCGTGGGTCTGCCAGGCTAATTGTGTGGCTGGTTAATGATAAAAATATTAGTACTGTTGCTGTGGCTAACTGTGCTGCCTTATCAGTGTGGACCAGAACAGCATTAATTAAACGACAAGCAAACGGCAGATGCAATAACATTTTCAGATGACTTTAAAAAAAAAAAAAAAAAAGTACCTAGGAGAGCCAAACAATGCAGTATTAATTCATAGTGTGTCCTTGGGACTGTGTGGGAGCTGAAAGAAAACCAGTGGTTAAGAGCAGTCAAGCCTTGTGAGTATCACAACCAGGCTGTCCCTGAACTATGATCTGTGGGCCAACTTGTCTCTCTTGGGAGAGTCGGGAAATTCCCAGACCTCTAAACACCCCCCAGCAGCTAACATTCCCTCTGTCCCCCCTCCTTCTGGACCAGTCGAGACGTGCAGGTTTGAACCCTCTCTCTGTGTTTCTGTCCTCCCATGCCCATTGCCACTCAAGCAGCAGGGGTCCGCTGCATTTGTCTCATAATTATCCGAGTGGATAGGGGGGTTCTGAAGATGAAAGACATGAATCACAGAGCTCCTCTGTCAAAGGTCTGTCTGCCTGGCTGGGGGGTTTTGGATCTATCTCCCTTGTCCTTTTCTTTTTCGTGGCATCTACCGCCCACCCCACCACCTCTGTTCCGTCACACACACATACTGGCTTACTTTTCCTCAAGAGCTGCCTCCACAAGAGCATAATCGCCGACAGTGAACGCTCGTGCACGGCCCCCCGAACACCACCCCACCCCACCAGCTATCCCGCTGATTCATTCACAAGTACAAAACTGTAGAAATACCCCCCACCCGTACATCCTGAAAGACTTCAGACTTTTTCTTTCTCTCCCCTCTACCCTCACATGCTCCACCCACCCGCCAATCGGCCAGCCGCCCACCTCACCCGCTTGCTCCCTCCAGCCCCTCCCTGCTTCATCCGCCTCTTCTTTTTCTCCACCCCACCACCACCTTTCTCCTTCTTCTCCTCTTAACTACTGGCTAGGAGTTAATGGACTGTTTTGGCTAGTCTCCAGACGGTGAGTGTCACCTCATTAGCCTATAGCGGCTCACTCCCAGACTGCCCCCTGTGTGTGTATGCGAGTGTGTGTGTAGGAGGAGGACTACAATGACGGAATGCCATTGGTTTGTCTCTCCCAGCCCTCCCAGCCTTTACCCTCTCCTCCTTCCCACCACTACAATGAATGAGAAAACGTGCATAATGCAATCTATAGTCTCGTCCTCACTCCACCCTCCTTTTCCTCCTTCCGTCACAGCCCTGCATTTAAAGAAGAGCTTCAGCTTGGAAGTTTGCCACCATTTAATGAAAAAAAAAAAAGTGTCTTCCAGCGATAGCGATGTGGCCAACCTTCCACCCTCATATTGGACCTTTTCTTTTTCATCCCAGCTTGCCGAATGGCAGGGTGGCAACAGCGGGCGAATGTAAATGCCACCCGGTGCTGCCAGTCAATTACACTACAACAAAGCTAATTGTTTGTTTGGTGCATACTAGAAAGATGCCGAGGTCGGCCATTGATGGGTCCATTGTTTCAGCGCAGATGCAGCGTTTCTTGTTCTCACAGTCCAGACTTAACACTGATTAAACTTGTGAATGAAGAAATTCCACTTTTTGGGAAAAGCAGCAAATACATGAGATGTTGCATTATATAGAGTATATAAATGTATATATATATATATATATATATATATATATAGTGGACAAAATTATTTTAAGTGCATCTATTACATTACATATCATCCTCAAAAGAGGAAGTCACACAGTTTTCATTCAAACGTCTGACCAATAAATATCAGTGGGATGGTGCCTGTCTTTGCTTTAATGTTTGTCATTGTTAGACTTTGACTGACTCAGTGACAGCTTCAGCCATTAGCTTTCTTTGAGATACAAAAATATATTCAGAGAAGTACAAAAAAAAAAGATTAAATATAAGTATTTCTAATATCCTATTTTAGTGTGTAAATGATTTTTAAAAACTTTTCAAAAGGCCATATTTAACCTTTTGATGAGCCATTCTTGGCCCCTAAATTTTAGTTTGGTTAGGCCTCACTATAAATGTTTTTTTTTTTTAATTCTATGTTATCACTAAAATGGCAAATAGCACAGGTCAGCTCATCACGTATGTGTACACATGTATGGTAATCTCTGTATTGCATGTATGCGGACATGTGTGCCAACATATTGGTTCGACTTTATTTCCCAAATTAAGAGGTGGAGAAGTTGAATTGGCTTAACCCTCATCTGCATCTTTGGTTTCGTAGCAGTGGATCTATTTGTCAGGTTCTTCCGTCTCCTCTCTCAGGCACGGTGTAGCTAATGATCCATCAGGCCATTCAGTCCCTTGTTCAAGGCCCACTCGCCGCTGAATGTGCTCCCTCCCCATCCACACTGTTTGGTGACCTCAATGAGGAGCCTGTTGTCCTCGTTGCCTTGGTTTAAATGCTCTCCTCTTTTCACTGCCGTGAGAGTTTATGGAGGAGAAGGCACAGAGTCCCGGCGTAAAGAAAGAGGGCCTGCTCTCCACCGGCATTAGTATGCACTGATTAGAAACAAACACACACGGATGATGCATGTGTGCACGCCTATACACACACTAAGGCCTGTCATTGTTCTCGTTTGGGCTTGGATCCCACTTGATTCCATGAGTTTTAAAACCCTGACAGCCATCCTGGGTGTGTGTGTGTGTGCGTGTGTGTGTGTGTCCTCCTGCTCCACTGCACAAGTCTGTGGTGTCTGTCTTGGAGAATAGAAGCAAAATGACATTGTTCTCACAGACGTTTCAACTTAAGCCCCTCTCACTTTTTCCCAGCTCCTCTCATATGTTAGTCGTTAAAATTGTGTCTTTGTCTGTGTGTGTTTGTCTGAGTGTGCGTTTGTAACTCATCCTATTGTACCTGCATTCCTTGTCTCAGCAGTCATTCGATAGCTCGCTGAATTACCTGGTGCTGCTATAAGTCAAGAAGAAATATTTGCCTAGTTCCATTTATAAGATTACCATTTCAGGGTCAATGCATTAGTCCGCTGCTGACAGATCATAGATAAAGCCTTAAAGAATGTCTACAGGATGATCTTAATGTGGATTTTGGGGTTTTACCACTGAGCAAAGCTAATTTTCCATATACAA